TGGAGGATGGGTGTGGAATCAGCATTATAAACCAGGGTCATGAGAGAGAGCCACAAGTGGACTAGAGCCACACTTCAAGAAATTTAGTTTTTATCCCACAGATTCCTCTCTCCCAAATTTTACCCACTCCAGACCCTCTGGGGACCCACATTCTGCCTGGCAGCTCCTGTCACAAGGGAGGGACAAGTCTGCTGGCAATTTAGACCTCACAGGAGGGTGGAGGGCAGCCAGGTGTGAATAGGCTCAGTTTGCAGCAGTTTTGTTAACTGAGGTTAGACGGTTGCTAAAGGAATCGCCCTATGAGGATTTAAAAAAAGTCATTTCTTTTTTTGCATTGAATGCTTTTCACTCTTTTCCTATCCTTAAGGGAAAGAAAAAATGGGGGTGGAGTCACGGGGCTATATCAGGAAAAAGAAGGAGAGGCGCGGCCAGGGCACTTGAGACTTGTCCTAACTGGGAGATTTTCACACAAATGGAAAACTCCTCCTCTGCACTTATTCTGATCCATCCTTCAGTCTTCATTTCTCCAAAAACCCTTGAGCACTCGTCTTCAGCCCTGGCCCAGCCACGTGGAAGACTGGCAGGCTCCAGGGTGCAGACCAGATTCACCGTGCAAATGGGGACCAAGGGCTTTCCTGAGCTGGCCCTGTGTCTGGAAACTGGGCTGACCTTTACTTTAACAGCTCTTCCTGCTACCTCAAGATAAAGAACCTACATTTTTCACTGCAGGACAGATTTTTTCTAAGTTTCCCACCTCACAGCATGACAGACGAATTAAGAAAAACCACATCCAGCTTTATAATGAAAAACAGTGGTAGGCTTTTCCCTCCAGTGTTCATTTGTTTTTGGCGTATATGTGTGGTACATAGTGAAGCTGGCTAGGCAAACAGGTATTAGGACCCTGTTTTTTGTTGGGGGCAGGGTTACATCTGACCCTAGAAGCCTCTCCCTTAAGGTATCTTCAGCAGGATGGGCGACCCTCTTGTTCACATTCCCTCAGCAACCTGGGGGTGCCCCCCCAACACTGGAGAGGGGCTTTTGTGTCTGGAAGGCTGGGTTGGGCAGCAGAGCCTGTTTGAGTTCATCCCAGGGTAGAAGCTACTTGAGACACATCCCTAAGGCCTTTCCCAAGGCCAGAAGCCACAGGGGAATCCTATTCACATCCTGGGCCTTCCCTGCATGACTGCCATCTAAGTATAATCAACAGGATCGCAGGATAGAGTGAGAATGCCTGAGGATGCTGAAAGCCAGGTGTCCCCTCATCATGCAGACTGAGGTCAAATTAAGCTCCTCACTGCACCACCTGGGCAGGTAGGTTTAAGAATCTCTATGGCCCCTGTGAATCAAGTTCGTCCCTGCTGCCCACAACACTGGCAGGCTCCAGGCAGTGAGAGCCTTGCTGGCAGCTGCCTCTTACACCTACCTCCTGCAACTCTCTCTCTCTCTCCATTTCCACCTTACAACCTCCACTCTTGTCACTCCTCTGTCCAGAATATGCCCCACTTTCTCTCTCCCAAAACTGAGGCTTTGACCTCAAGGCCTGGCTCAAGTCCTCCTCCTCCAGGAAGACGTCCCTGATGGCACCACAGGTGGATCTGCCCTACAGCGTGCTTGCTCTAACCTTCCACAGCTCTGCCGCAATCCTGGTCTGCCTCTTACCCAGACAAATCACTCAGTACTTCAGGCTTCCGTCTCCTCCTCTGCACTGTGGGAAGGATCTACTGCACAGGGCAATTCTGAGGATTAACTGTGCTAGTGCCATCCAAGCAAAGTTCCCGCTCAGAGTCCAAGTGGACACCCGGTAAATATCAGTGAAGACTTCCACTAGTGCCCTGATCAGAGGAGGGCACTGCTCTGATAATTTTTGGTTTGACAACAAGTTTCCAGATTTGCTTGGAGAAACAATACCCCTGAAACAGAGAAAGTTTGTGCAGCCAATTTACTGCTGGTTTTCTGGTCTACAAAAAGATAACAAGGAAAACAATAAGCTTGAGGCTAGATGAAATTGGGACATTCTTGCCTGGTGTGGACAGGAGCTAAAAAGAATCTAGATTTCTCAACAAAAAGTCTATAAAAATAGTCCCTAAGGGAAAAAATTTTTTTAAGAGAGGGTAAATCTATTTAATTTCTTGGGTTAGCAAGTTAACTACTATGAAACTTAAAGGCGAAAGTAAAATCTACTGGGTCTGGTGCTTCCGTGCCCAATTTTAATTATTGCAACTCTTCGATGAGGTCCCAGGTGCTAGTGGTAAAGAACCTGCCTGCCAATGCAGGAGATATAAGAGCCGTAGGTTCGATCCCTGAATTGGAAATATCCCCTGGAGAAGGACACAGCAACCCACTCCAGTATTCCTGCCTGGAGAATCCTATGGACAGAAGCGGGCTACGGTCCACAGGGTCACAAAGAGTTAGACACAACTGAAGCAACACAGTACACACAGCACACACACATTATCTCTGCTTCACAGCTGAAGAAAATGAGACTCAGAGCACATGTCTTATCCCAAACCACATAACAGAGCTGGAAATCAAACTCAAGTCCATTGAAAACCAAAATCCACACTCCTCCACTCCATCATTAGAAAAAGTTGGCAACACGGCTCAAGGCTGGCATTTTAGCAGGCAGTGTTCAATGTGAATCTGAGTCACCCCACCCACTAACTTTCCCAGAGGGAATCCACTTTTGCCTGATAAACCTGTGGGATGCTAATGTTTTGTATGAAAAAACAAATTTCACTGCCAAAAAAACCCAAGTAATTAATAACTGCACGATTCTATACAAATCAACCCTCTGGTATCCACAAGTTCTGCACCTGCATATTCAAGGAGCTGTGGGTCCTGTGCTGTATTTAAGGTCCACGGTTAGGGGAACCCGCAGTTGAGGGAGCTGAGGTTGCAGAACCAGGGTTCTGAAGGGCTGGCTGAAGGCCCTGAGCATACTCAGATTTTGGTATCTGCACAGGGAGAGGGGGTCCTGGAACAAATTCCCTGAGGATACTGAGTCTTCCTAAAGCCCGGTTCAACTATTTTTCATTTCTGCTTTCAAGTTTTAAAGCTTTCCCTCTCTGCTAATATGGTGGCTGATTTTTCTTTCTTCAAGGTTCAAAAACTTATAGATTTTTTTGCCCTAAATGTCTCATGGTATTACCCAGATGTCTCAAACGCATGTTGCCATTTCCGAGATGTCAGGGGTAGGCGTTATCAGCAGCTGGTAAATATCATAGTTCATGCCCCACGAGAGTTATGGCTGCTGTCTCTGTTCTCTATGGCCAGTTCCCTTGGCCTCCTACAGTTACGCCAGCTTTTCTCAGCCCCTCACAGCTCAAAACAGGGCATGCAGCCCGTTCTTCTTAACCCTTTAACAAATCACTCCAGGGATCTGCTTTCTAATACTCCAAACTCTTCTCAGGGCAGGAAGTCACAACCCACAAATGAAAAGACCACTTTGGAGCTTATCTTTACCCCAAAATCTCTTTGGTCAACAGAAACCAACACAATATTGTAGGCAATTATCCTCCAATTAAAAATAAATATTTTTTTTTAAAGAAAAAAACAAGTCTTTGATACTTGGCTTTATATTTTCTTTAGATATATGGCACTTATGCTGAAAATTCAGGAGACTAGACTAGAAAGGTGTGAAGGTTCTGAAGCCTCCCCATAAAATTCACATCTCTGACTTGAGAGAAAAGCGATCCTTAGGCACAAATTAAGGCACAAGTACTTAACAAGCCCACTCTTCATTCTCTACCACCCCACCCCCATTCCCGCTGCTTTAAATCCTCTATAATTAGTAAAAGCAGCCACCACTTATTAAGATCTAACTAGTATAGACACTAACCTAAGAACTTCATTATCTCTTTCAATCCTCTCAACAAATTAAGGAGAAACTAGAGGTGTGGGGGTTACATGAAGCCAGCATGACAGCCAAGATTCGACCCTCAGTCTGACACCAATGTTCTCCTTGTCATCATTACCCAGTGTCACCTCAGTCACGAAATAGTTTCATCCCTCCACCTCCCAAAAGAAGCGCTTCTTCAAGCAAATTCTTGCAGGTCAGGGGCCACTGCAGAACCACCTGAAAGACCTTATGCTAGGTCAACCTGTTTTACTCTAAAAAGTATGAGAAACAGGAAAGGTGAAGAAAAAATACAAAGGTTCTAAAGAATGCTTTCACCTCTGACCTCCTTCCTCCTGTCAGAGGTCAGATGAGCAGTCCCTGGAACAAATGGGATAAATCTGTGGCCAGTTTCCCATTCAGGTGTTCACATCTCTGACTGGGAAGAAAGAGCTGACCTGACAAGTCTCGCCTTCAAGAGAAGGCAACATGGGCTCCGTGTCTGTATTAATTAACCGAGGCCTCCCCTGGGCATTTCTCTGCTGGCCCCTCGCTCTGGTCAGTGAGTCATGAAATGAGGACAAGGCTCCGGGGAGCTGAATAGCACAGCTGCACAGCCGTGAACCAGAAATGACAAGACACAGGTGGTTCGCAGTTTTCTCCCCAGGGGTCCCCTCTCCCACACACTCCACCACCATGTCCCTAACTGAGGGGAGCACTGAGGTCATCCCATTATGGAGGAAGAATCTGGAATGTTCATCCCAGCCAGCACAACTCACCACTTGAAACTAAAGCCCAAAGCCCTCCATCACCATAATGTGCGTGAGGCCTCAAAACGCTTTACCTTTGTTGAACTTTCAGACTAAAATACTTCATTCCACTTGAGAGCATAGCTGGCACAAGCAACCCCCAGTTCTTCCCCACGTGCTTCAAGAAGCCCCCCTTTTTAAAAAAATATTATTAATGGTCAACAGATTCCAAACAGAATTTGCCTGCCAAGATTTCTTTGGCAAAGGAAAGATACTCGGGTTTTAAAAATAAGTCCCCAGCTTCGTTTTGCTAAACTCTTCATCTACTTGCTTGAAAGAAAATTCATGAGTCTCTGCAAGACAAGCATTTTTTTTTTTCAGTGAATTCTCGGCACCCAGGGTTCAAATCCACTTACCCTCAGTGTTGGAGCTGATGTCATCCTCCACCCCGACCACTTGCCTCCGGTGACCCAGGTGCGGGGCGTGGTCGGGCCCAGGGTAGTTGGGAAGGGCCGCCTCCCCACCCGGATGGGCTGGAAGAGCATCCTGGTCCGCTGGCCCGGCTCCTCCCTCTGGGGAGGGCGGCGGGGCTTCCCCGGGAGGAGCAGGTGAATCTCCTTCAGTCTCTGGAGGAGCAGGGACTCTGGTCCCTGGCTGTTCAGAAGACTCGACTCGCCCTTTTAAATCCGAGGCATCGGTCTCCCCCTGAGGTCTCCTCTCTTTGGTGTGAGGGTCCAAGGGGGAAGATTCTGTTTCAGGCCCACCCCGAGATGCTGAACGTGGCACAGGGGAGGCCAGGTCAGAATCTGGAGCAGAGATCCTACCTCTTAAAGAAACCTCGACTGAGCTGTGGCCATTTGATGCCTCCGCTGGCTCACTAGGCGGGTATTCGATTTCCTCCTCATTCTCATCATAATCATCCAAAGGGTCCTGAGTGTAGTCATCCTCCAGGGCCACGGCATGGCTGAAGGACTGTCCCAGAGGAGCCGAAGGACGGGCTTTGGAAAGGTCTCCTCCAATGGTCGCTGGCCTGACGTTGTCCAACGGGGAAGTGCTGCCTATGTGAAAAGCCCACACTCCAGGAATGCCCAGGTTGCTGTGTCTAAATAAAAAGGAAAAAAAGATAATGTAGCATATGTGTCCACCCACCACCTTCCTACAAAGGTGAGCAATTTATTTGAAAACTGAAAGACTATTCAGATCAGATTAAGTTTTCACTGGCAGAGAACCAAACAAAACCAGACTTACATGATAACTGAAAAGCATTATATTGGAATTTTTATGCAAACAATCTCTTATTAAACAATGGGTTTCAAAGGCCATATGCCTACTACCAGACACTCAAATCAGAATTCTGTACTACATGTTTTATCTAAATGGCTATTTGAAAACACCTAGGGAACAAGGGCTTCCCTGGTAGCTCAGATGGTAAAGGATTTGCCCACAACATGGGCGACCTGGGTTCAATTCCTGGGTTGAGAAGATCCCTTGGAGAAGGGAATGGCTTCCCACTCCAGTATTCTTGCTTGGAGAATTCCGTGGACAGAGGAGCTTGGCAGGCTACCATCCATGGGGTGGCAGAGTCAGACATGCCTGAGCAACTAACACTCCCTGGTGACTCAGTGGTAAAGAAGCCTCCTGCCAACGCAGAAGACACGGGTTCAGTCCCTGGGTTGAGAAGATCCCCTGGAGAAGGAAGTGGCAACCCAATCCAGTATTCTTGTCTGGAGAATTCCATGGAGAGAGGAGTCTGGTGGGCTACAGTCCAGAGGGACACAGAGTTGGACATGACTTACCTACTGAACACATGCACGCATACACACACACTTTTAATAAACTCAAGAAAACATGCTTAAACATTTCTGCCAAACACCTAAATAATAATGAGTCCTTTTTATTTGAGAGTTAATTACGTGCCAAGTGCTTAACATTCTTCAACACAACTTGCAAGGCAGGGGCAGTGATATGCCTGATTTTTCAGAGGAGAAAACAGGTTTAGAGAGGTTAACTAATCTTCTTAAGGTTGCACAATAATTGGCAGAGATTGGACTTGAATTCAGCAATAACACCAAAGCCCATGCTCTGAACATCCACGTCATGTCAGAAAATCAGTACACTATAGTCCGTCCACATCCTAATTATCTTACACCACAGAACGTGAGAAACATTTCACTGTTGAGTCACATGGATTATTCAATTAATTCACAAACCCTGGTAAATCAATGTCAAAAAATTCAAAGAAATAGAAATACCTAAGTATCAAAAATGTTGAGCAAATGTAGAACAAAGGTTAAGCGGGGGATAAGAAAGCAGGTTAATTAACTGCCATGGGTCACAGGTGAGAGGTGTCCAGAAACATTTGGAGCCAGGGAACTCACTTGTACACCTCCACTAGAAAAGAACACAGGCTCCATTCAGTCTTCCAAATATCCCAGCAATCCATTATTTTAGTCAATGATACATTCTAAAGAGAATAACCCCACAAACAATAAAAAAAAAAAAAAAAAAAAGGAAAAACCCGAAGAAAGAAAGGGTCTGGCTGGCTTGAATACACCCATTTCTATACTCTCTGGTATGTGGACCAAACACCAAGCTCTCAGAGTCTCATGTTGTGGGATTTTCTCTGCAGTCAGTCCATGAAAAGTCAGTTAATGACTAAAAATATAACAGGAAATTCATTGACTCATATGAGGACAAAAGAATTTTGCTCATTTGGGCTGGGATTCCTCACCTTCACATGGATTTCTACAGCAATAATATTTATTAACACAATTCCGAGAATCAATCAATCAGTCCCCACCTCCTCGCATGTTACCCCTACTGCAGTTGTAATTAGTTTAGAGAAACGAGTGTAGAAAGAAAAACTTGATCCTTTGTGCAATATGCTATGTAAACTTAGTAAGTTCTAAGAATTAAATGCTGGTGCTTTCTGGCAAGCAAGCAAGGAATGCTAAAGAAGATAAGAGAGGATTCAGAAGATCTGAGGATGCTGAGTTTATTATCACATCGGAGGTGTTGCAGCTGTGAAATTTCTTCTTGAAGTTAGAAACAGAAAACTATAAAAGCTTCAAAGAGTAGGAAAGTACAAATTATGGCAGATAAAAGCTAAATAAAATAGCCTTCTAATTAAATATGAATCGCTATCCTGGCTTTTGTCATTGTGCATGATAGGAAAGTAGCCAGTTTGAGTTTATCCTAAAATCCAAGGTCATTTGGAAAGCTTAGCGATAGAAAGAACTTAATTTATTTCATAGAAAGAAAACAAGGCTACAAAATGAGATGGACAGTGCCTTCCTCCCTGGGGTATTAGGATTAAGCTAGAAAATCACATAAAACGTTCAGCATGGGGCCCTGCATATAATAAGTGCTTAGTAACTACTGTTTTCTAGGAGACAGAAAAGAATAATCTCAAAAAATGCAAATGTGTGCATTCCTATTTAAATGTGCAGAAGGAGAATTATTACAAACACACTATGAATTATATAATTTATGACCTCTAAACTTATAAGACAAGTTCGAGGAAGAAAACAATTCTATTGACTAGGAGAATAATTTTATTTTTTAAAAATGCATACTGAAGCACTGAGGAGTGAGTGGCATGATGTGTGTCACTTACTTTAGTTACATAAAAAAGAAAAAAAATTTTAAGATAGCAAAATGTCAACAGCTTGTAAATCTAGATTACCTCCGCTTTTCTGCATATTTTTGAAATTTTAAATAATAAATGCTGGAAAGGGTGTGGGAAGAAAGAAACCCTCCTACACTGTTGGTGGGAATGTAAATCAGTACAGTCACTATGGAGAACTGAATGGAGGTTCCTTAAAACACTAAACATGCAACTGTCATATGACCCAGTAATCCCACTTCTGGGCATATATGCAGAGAAAACCATAGTTTGAAAAGATACATGCATTCCAATGTTCATAACAGCACTATTTACAATAACCAAAACATGGAAGTAACCTAAATGTCTATCAACAGATGAATGGATAAAGATGTGGTATATATATATATATACACAATGGAATATTGCTCAGCCATAAAAAAGAATGAAGTAATACCATTTGCAGCAACATGGATGGACCTAGAGATTATCACACTAAATGCAGTAAGCCAGACAAAAACAAATATCATATGATATTACTGATATGTGGAATCTAAAAGAAGAGAAAGACACAAATGAACTTACTTCCAAATCAGAAAGACACAGGCACAGAACACAAACTTACAGCTACCAAAGAGAAAGTGGGAGAGGGATAAATAAGGTGTTTGGGGTTAACACATACACACTACTATACATAAAATAGATAACCAATAAGAATCTATTGGATAGCACAGGGATATTCAATATCTTGTAATAATGGGAAGGAAAGAAAGAAAGGAGAGAGGGAGGGAGGAAAGAAAGAAAAGGAAGGAAGAAAGAAGGGAAGGAAAGAAAAAAATAAAACAGAAGATTAAGTTGGGGAACTTTTCTATCATTTGGAGGTAGGAAAGGCCTTCCTAAAAATAATACCGACACCTGAAATCATAAAGGAAAAGGCCAATAACTTTGGCAACCCTGAAGTTATACCATTTAGATTGTAACTACCTTTAAAGATGAACAACTGGATAAAAATATTGATGGCATTTAAGAGAAAACATTTTTACTAGATTTCTTATTTGTAAAAGATCCCTGTAAATACCTCAGTAGAAAATAGCAAAGAAATGGCTATTAACCATTGAAAAGGTGCTCAGTTTTACCAGTAATCATAAAAATTAGAGTGAAAATAGAACATTTACACCTATCAGATTCACAAATATTAAAAAGATTAGAAGCCTGTAGGAAATGAACATTGTCAATCACAGCTCTCCATTATTGGTGGGATTGTAAGCTGGTGCAGGGTTTCTGAAGGGTGATTGGTTAACGTGCACTAAAATGTTAAACTGCATATAACTTTTCTCAGCAATTCTACTTCTAAGAATTTATCTTTAAGACAAATGAGCATCCGAACAATGTATATCATTTTGTTTACGGCAACATTATAAAAGGAAAAACCAGAAATAGTTTATATGTTCATCAATCAGTTTATTGTTTTAATAATACAGGCCATATATGATGCCATGTTTTATAGCCTTCAACTAATAATATAAAGATACCTTACTGAAAGATGTCCATAAGACAGTGGTAAATGGGAAGATTCCATATGTATAACGAAAAAAACATTTTGGTTTTAAAAAGGTTTTACATACACCTAAACTTCTGAAATGACTATTAATAATGGTTATCACTTTGAAGCAGTAATAATGGGTGATTTTTACTTTCATTCACAATTATCAGCATTACTTGCACCTTATTTTAGTTTTTATACTAAACAGATCCTACTAAAGAAAACTTCTTCCATCACTCATTTTGGCCCCCTATCTTCCACTTTCAATCAAGCAACTCGGAGGTTTCTAGGAAGCATGAAAGACAAAGATGAGGTAAGCATTGTTGCTATTGTTTGGTCACTAAATCATGTCTGATTTTTGTGACTTCATGGACCACAGTCTGCCAAGTTCCTCTGTCCATGGGATTTTCCAGGCAAGAACACTGGAGTGGGTTGCCATGCCCTCCTCCAGGTGACCTTCTCAACCCACAGATCGAACCCCCATCTCCTGCATTGGCAGGTGGATTCTTTACCATTGAGCCACATGGAGGAAGGTAAATGGAAGCAGTATATATGTGTACGTGTCTGCGTGTTCATGTGTGTCTATGTGAGTTCTTGGGGCCTTTACGGCGGTGGTGGGGAAGCATAAGTGCTTTTTCCCACAGGCTTTTTGGCCTCCACTGCCTCCCGTACCCTGAGGAGGTAGTCCCATGCTCTGCAACTGTCTAACTGCTCCTCCATCTAGCCTAGGAGAGTGCAGGCTGCTAGTATACAGGGCCTAGGCCTTAGACATCTTTGTCTTTCCAGCACTTGAATGATGTCTGAAAAGCAGAGAATCCATGGCTCCAGAGAAGAGGGTGGTGGAGCCAGGGCAGAAAAAGCAAGGAGCTAAGTTTTCTCCAGAGTCAAGACTAAAAGGCAGCCTCACTAACAAACACATGAAAAGATGCTCAATATCACTCATTATCAGAGAAATGCAAATCAAAACCTCAATGAGGTACCATTACACGCCAGTCAGAATGGCTGCTATCCAAAAGTCTACAAGCAATAAATGCTGGAGAGGGTGTGGAGAAAAGGCAACCCTCTTACACTGTTGGTGGGAATGAAAACTAGTACAGCCACTATGGAGAACAGTGTGGAGATTCCTTAAAAAACTGGAAATAGAACTGCCATATAACCCAGCAATCCCACTCCTGGGCATACACACCAAGGAAACCAGATCTGAAAGAGACACATGCACCCCAATGTTCATCGCAGCACTGTTTATAATAGCCAGGACATGGAAGCAACCTAGATGCCCATCAGCAGACGAATGGATAAGGAAGCTGTGGTACATATACACCATGGAATCTTACTCAGCCATTAAAAAGAATTCATTTGAATCAGTTCTAATGAGATGGATGAAACTGGAGCCCATTATACAGAGTGAAGTAAGCCAGAAAGATAAAGACCAATACAGTATACTAATGCATATATATGGAATTTAAAAAGATGGTAACGATAACCCTATATGCAAAACAGAAAAAGAGACACAGATGTACAGAACAGACTTTTAGACTCTGTGGGAGAAGGCGAGGGTGGGATGTTCAGAGAGAACAGCATTGAAACAAGTATACTATCAAGGGTGAAACAGATCACCAGCCCAGGTTGGATGCATGAGACGGGTGCTCAGGGCTGGTGCACTGGGAAGACCCAGAGGGATGGGATGGGGAGGGAGGCAGGAGGGGGGATCGGGATGGGGAACACATGTAAATCCATGGCTGATTCATGTCAATGTATGGCAAAAACTACTACAATATTATAAAGTAATTAGCCTCCAACGAATTAAAATAAATGGGAAAAAAAATTTTTTTTTAATAAATAAATAAAAGGCAGCCTCAGTGGTGCCCAGAAGGTGCCCAGTGTGAGTCCTGAGAATGGGAATGCAAGCCAGGACTCAGCATAAAAAAAGCAGTTCAGAGCTCCAGACTCGTGCTTGAGTTTTGGCTTTGCCCCTTCATAACTTTGAGGTTATAGGCAATTTAACTTTCCTAAGCTCATTTGTCACATTGACAAAAGAACAGAACTTATCCCGAGACTCTTGTTGAGTTTTAATTAAGAGAACTTCTGGAAACTGTTTAGCATAATGTTGGCAAACAGTAAGCTCTCAATAAATGTCAGCTCTGAGTAACCCTGTTTGGTTGTAGGGCCCGCTCTCTGGTCTCTGAGTAGAGTGGATGGCATGCAAAAGTGTAAGGTATTCCAGTACCCAGTAATCTCATTCCGTCCAGCTTGTAGACCAGTATTCAGGGAAGCATAAAAGCAGAGATATTTTTTTAAAGCCAGGAAATGAGTAAATATCAACTGATGCCAACCCAGATACTGGGCATGATGTGGACAAGCAGAGTGGGCTCACATGATGGGACTAAGGAATGTGCCCAGTTCCAGGCATTTCATGAAAAACCCATCAGGACGATTTAAGATAATGAAGCCATTGAGAAATCCCAAGACTTCCAAAACCCTAGCAATCTGTTTGTTGGTTTTTCTCTTTTTTTTTTCCAAATTACACAACCCTTAATTTAACTTTTAACACCTATCTGTTTAAAAGACTAACCCACAACATTTCCAGCTGTGAAACGATTAACCTGGAAAAACCTCAACCTGGGCAGTTATATTACTGAATATTTTTATGTGGTTCCAAGAGCAATGTTTTCCACAGCAAGCGTCAGTGGCTGTGCTAACACACACACACACACACACACACACACACACACACTCACACACATAGTTTGGTTTCTGGTATCTCTAGCCAATACGGCAGGAAAAATAACGAACCTTTTATATTTCGGTCAACTTGCTCCTCCCAGGGTCTAGTCTAGCTCCTGGTTTTGACACTGATGCCTTGCTTAGTTAGAAACCACCAAGATATTATTTAATGGTCTCAGAGCCACTGAAGTTTGGCTAGCTCCTAAGGGTCCTTACATTCCCACAGGAAAGGGTTTAAGCCCTATGCTACTTACTGGTAGAGATTTTTCACAGACTGTTCAGTGCTAGTCAAGCTGAAATATGGTCCCTGTCTATTCAGATCATCAACCTCTCCTCGGCAGAAGCCCACTCGGGCTGGAAGCTGGAGCTGGACATTGTAAGATTCTTTGGGGCGTGTTCCAAAGAACTGAAGGCCATTGGCAGGATAAAGAAAGAGGGCGTAGGTGTCAGATTCATCAGATGCCAACACTGCCTGGAAAGTATTCAGCTGTGAAAAAAACAGAAAATATTCTTAATGAAACAAACAACAACAACAAAACTACAAGCAAAGCATTATGAAATGCAAAGGGTTGTCCCCCTTCTCAGGATTTCTCTAAATTGTTTTAACATAATATTCTTTTAAATTTGCTCTCCAAGTTATAAGCATAATTACATAAGCTGTATTATTATAATCATCTTTTATCAGTTTAGATTAATAGTTGAAATATGCATAGGTTAAAAAAAAAAAAAAAACCACAGGTTAGGACTTCCTTGGTGGCACAGTGTATAAGAATCTGCCTGCCAATGCAGGAGGCACAGGTTTGATCCCTGGTCCAGGAAGATCCCACATGCTGTGGAGCAACTAAGCCTGGGCAACACAACTACTGAGCCTGTGCTCTAGAGCCCACGTGCCACAACTACTGAAGCCCGTGCACCTAAAGCCTGCGCTCTGAAGCAAAAAAAGCCACTGCCATGAGAAGCCCACACACGGCAACAAAGCGGAGCCCCCACTCAGTGCAACTAGAGAAAGCCTGTGCAAATCAACAAAGACCCAGCGCAACCAAAAATAAAGAATTTTTTTAAAACACAGGTTAAAAAAAATAAAACTTTTTTAAGGTTTCAAACTTCTATCATCCAAACTTCTTTCAGAGCTGAGAGTAAATAGCAAAATTAATGTGTATATTCCCATAGTCATTGCCCTAGTTTACTGCCCTGGGCACTTAAACGGGATCATTCATTCATTCATTCACTCATTCACTTATTTATTGAATCACCGTTATGGGCAAGGGTGATGTGAGGCACTGGCTGATCAAAAGGCCTCATTACTGTTCTCAGAGCCTCATTCTCTATTCTCTTCCATCTACCTTTTGACACCAGCACCACAGTTATCCTATCCTCATTTCTCAGATGAGGAAACCAAGACAAGGACTAAGAGATCTACCTAGGGTTAGGCTGTTAGTATGCAGTGGCAGGACGGCCACTGCCCTGCACCACCAGGCTGTCCCAACCACTCCTTGGCCTGCCACGCCAGGTGATTTATAAGCTGCAAACTCTCTTTCTAGGCTCACATCCGCTGTATCTTCACCAGATTATTTAATATTGCCCATCTGTCCCATATACTCTGATGCTTCTGAACATTTATTTACTCACATTTTCCTGTGCCTAGAAACACTCCTGCCCTTCTAATACTGCCCTCTGAGAGGTTTTTGAGATCCCCTGTACATTTATTGCTGTTCTCTGACCCTCCACAACATCTTAGTGAGTGTTTCTAGTTCCTCGTTTAGCCTGGTTAGCTGTTAACATATTTGTAAACTTGATTCATTAATTCATTTGTACATTAATTCAGAGAACCAGGTGCCAGCTCAGCACTGGACAGTGTGCTTGGTGGGAAGAAGCAAAGGGGCAAAGGATGGCAGCCTCCACCCGGGACAGTCCCAGAGCTCAGGACGGGGGCAGCCACGGCTGGGGTTCCAGGAGAGTTGCTGGAGAAGGTAGCAGAGGCCAGAGTGGAAGGCGCGGGCCCCAGACCTCAGGGCTGGAACGGGCAGGCGTCGCAGAGGCTGACTGTGAATGGTAATAAACACCGCAGGAGCCAAAGCAGACCAGAAGGACAGGCCAGGAGCCTGAACTAGCCACAAACGCAACACCCAGGTTCTTATGGAATCACTCCTTAAAGTTCAACTTACTCTAGTATTTTCAACAGGACACTTGTTTTTTTTTTGCCTTTACCTAAATCCAGCTATCTCTCTCACAACACACAAATGATCAGTTAATGGTACTTGACTATCTTTTAAAAAATGTCATATGAAGGCCTCTGAGGACAACCCTCTCACTAAATCCCATTCTTTTTACAACTTAGCAGGGAGCAGGAGAGGTATTTATAAATACCACTACTTCCTAAATAATGTGACCCCTAGAAACATTATTTACTGGTAGGGAGCACTGTCTCTCCATTTTACTAGATACACAAAGTTAGGCAGAGAGAAACATATCACATTTTCCTAAATAAAACAGCAGACCATAGGTATGGGCCTGTCCTGGGTCCTTCCCCAAATGGTGGCCAAGCTCTTTTCTAATGTTAATTATTCTTTTTTGATGTTTAATTTCAAAGTATAGTTTGGATGGTTTGCTTACAAGATAAAGTTTAGGTGTTAAAATGTTTTTCCAGAAAAAAAACCAAAATATTATCCAACTTTACTTTTAGATCTCCAACATAGAAAAGGTCACCTTGCTTGGCTTGGCTTTTTGCTTTCCTTTAAGTTCAGAAACTTAAAGACAAGGAGGGGGGCCTCATGTATTTGTTATTGTTGTCGTTGTTGATTGTTTCAGCCGGAAAGGTTAACTTTTCCAAAAACAAAAGGCAAGGGATGTTTTCTAGAATTTCTCAAAGCTCGGAAGCCATAACTTCTGCCAAATGTAAACAAAGGCCATTCTGTATCATGTCCATACAGAATGTATACATTATCGATTAATGGCAATTCAGTAACTTCAGAGTTTTACTTTACTCAGAATAAATAAAGTTCAGCTAGAGAAAGAAAGGTACTCAAGGAAAGAGACTCTGTTTTAAGAAGCAAAGCTTTCAAAGCTTCTGGCATTGATTGCCAACAATAAATGTCAGATAGGAGGAATCCTGGTTCTACATCTAGAGAAGCTCTGTGAGATAAGGAGGTCCTATAGATTGTGAAGGAATTGAAAGGGATGGGAAAGGGAAGGGAAAAGTAAACAGAGCTGGGAAGAGGAGAGTCTGGCTTTTTACTGTGGGGTCTGGGTATTTAGCTAGTCAACCAATTTTATTCATTCTTTCAGCCAGTGAGCAAATTTATTTCAATGAAAAGTTATTCAACATCTTTATATGCCATCCTTGAGACAAGCACTTATTACAGGTGGCAAGCATTTATTTAATCTACTTGTCTTCACTAAATAGGCAAATAGAAGAATTTTAAATAGAATTTAGGATCCCAGAGTACCAGACATAAAAATCTGGATGTTTAAAAACCACCCGCACACCAAATGATCACGTTTAAAGTTCTCTCTCAGTTCCACAACATTCTACACCTAATCGCTAAAGAGCCCACTTCAAGATGTCCTGCAGGGCTCCTCCTCCTAGAACACTCCTTGACTGGCTTCCTAACCGGAAAGGTCTACACATTCCTGGAGAAAAGACTTCGCAAGAACCCCACATGCTCTGTCCTTGAAGGGAAAGCCTCAGATGGGCTGCCAAACCTCACAAAAGGGTCACCTGTTTCCAACTTCCTCAGGATCCCAGGGAGGAGAGGAGCAGGGCCCGTGCTGCGGAGCTTCAGGATCCACCTTCCTGCTATCAGAAAGAGAAAAGCCAGAGCCCTCAGCAGAAATCAGACAGCTTCGGGCTCTCCCCTCCAGGTGCAGGGCACCACCAATCAGTGCTGACTTGATGCTTGGCAAAGCCAGGCTGATGGATACAAAGCATGCTCCTCAATAAGTTCCTAGTTTATGCAATTTACTTAATTAATTTCAGCCATCTGGCCAAATATCACGACGATAGCATCCATGTCCCAAAGAGTTTGCCTAAAGTGGCTTACAAAAATTATAATGAAAATTAAGAAGTAGGATCACAAAGTTCCCCTTCCTATCTTCTTTAGGTTCTCATGCTCTCTACACTCCTAGCATTATTAGCTTCTCATCTCCATTGTTTGGTGTGAATGCTAATCTCCATTCCTTAGTATATTTCTCTATCTACCATTACCTATACATCACTGTCACTTGCATGATTTTCCTTAATTCATTTTTTCTGCCCTTAATCCTACAGATCCTGCCAAAAATACCAAAATAAATGCCCAGTACTATCACATCCCTAATATTATAACCTTCCCCACACTTGGTCTTCAGCGAAACATCAGCATTTCTTTAACCAATTTCCATATATGTCTCTGTGCTCTATGTTTGCATAGCTAGATCTCAGACACAAGCTAAACTCTCTCAGACAGACTGTAGGCCTCCCTTCTTTGGGGCCTCAGCTTCAAAATTCAAAAAAGCTACAACCATGTCCTGCTTTTACTTCTCATTTTCTCACTGGATCCAACCCCCTCCATCAATGACCATCATTCTTTGAAACACATCAGCATATCTCACTCCCGAGGTGAGGCCTCCACTTGGAAGCCTTCTGCTCATCTTATTTTACTGCCCATACCTGCCTTCATCCATATCTTCAGCCTTAGCTCTCTTGGCCTTCTTCCAGGACACATCTTCAGCCAGCACAATCTGTCCTGCTGCCCCATTCTCAATATCCATTATTTCAGCCCAACTTAAATAAAAGTCGACAAAACATTCCCTGTACCACACAGATCTATGAAGCCCAGTTTTCTATGCCCCTCCATCCCTCAAACAATACCACCCTCGAGAAAAAGACACAGTTGAAGTAAACATTAGTCCTCTTTATGTCTCCCATCAGTAAGTTCTTTGAAGGTCAAACTGACTCATTGGAAAAGACCCTGATGCTGGGGAAGACTGAAGGCAGCAGGAGAAGGGGATGACAGAGGATGAGACAGTTGGATGGCATCACCGACTCGATGGACAGGAGTTTGAGCAAGCTCCAGGAGTTGGTGATGGATAGGGTAGCCTAACGTGCTGCAGTCCATGGGGTCGCAGAGTCGGACACTACTGAGCAACTGAACTATACTGGGACTTTGGTCTGTGATGTACTTATGACAATTCAAGGAGTCTCAGATTGTGCTGACAAACTATTTGGTCATAGCTTTTTAGGTACAGTAACACCTTGACATTCCTACAGTATCAGGTACCACATCCTGTCACATCCATCACGAATGTCCATGGTGAGAAAGGACAACATCTGAAACAGTTTTAAAAGGTAAAAATGCCTTTCCTCTGACATCTTCAAGTTTCTGGTAACTCTGCAACACGTTATATGCCAAGGTTTAAGAAGGCCATGTAGAACTCACACAGTCTTTCAAGCAAAGTAGATTACTGTTTGCCAAAATCTATTTCCAAAGAACTATTAAAACAACAACTAATATCACAGGGCTCTTCAAAGTATTCAGAAGGAACCTTCAATGTGGGTAATTAAAGAAACATCCTCTCTCCAAACAGAATCTTTATCTCTTTTCTAAATGAAACATTCTGAAGCCAGCTCAGCATTTGGCAACATTTCTGAAGATTAATTTTAATTAGAAAAGTAAGAGATGGATTCTACAAATCTTCCCACGCTCCGCCCCCACCATAAAGAGGCCCAGACAGAAGTTGCAATGCAGAAAACTTTGTATTTAAAGAGTCCTTAAGTAAAAGACTCACATCACAGTATCCTTTCAAGATAGAGAAATCAAAAAACCAGAATCTGGTCCTATATCAACCCCATGTAGGGGAACATAGATCTGCTGAGCAAATGCACCTCCTAAGTCTAAGGGACTATGATGGCTACTTTAAAATGTCCCCTGAATTTTGACAACAGTCCTATAAGGTAAGCATTGCTACCTCATTTTACAGGTTAATAAACTAAGACTGAGGCTGGATCATTGCTTCCAAAGTCACTGGATAACCTTTCATAAACTACTTCTTTCAAAAGATTTTTTGTCATTATCTTCACATCAGAAGCATTATTTCCATGCTACAGATGAAAGTGAGAAAAATATTTGTCTGTATTACAATTTTCAGTTTCAAATAAGTTCTGATAAAACTGGAATCCTAAAGCTCTAAGAGTGACTTCATCACCCCACAGGCTCTGTGCAACTGCTCATCTCTCCAATTCATCTCACCCAGCTCAAAATTACCTTTTTTTCCTCTGTTGAAAAAGTAAGACAGATGCAGCTGAATTAACTTCAGACCACTGGAATACTAATTTGGAAGTAATAAGGAATCAATAGTATCCTTGGCAAATTTCATTCGGAGTTAATTCTTCCTTTGAATGAGATATGAGTCCAAGGACTCTTCTGGCACTAAGATCACATCAAAACAATAAAACAAGGCTCATTAACTGGAAGTCTTTGGAGAAGGCATAACTATTGTGTCTACCTACATCACTTGTGCCAACAGAATGGGTCCTGCATGAAAAGTCTGGGTAGAAGCAACAACAACAAAAACCTAAGAACCAAGAAGTCTATATTATAGGGACTTCCCTGGTGGTCCAGGGACTGGAACTTTATGCTCCCAAAGCAGGGAACCTGGGTTCAATTCTGGTCAGGGAACTAGATCCCACATACTGAAATTGAGAGCTCACATGCCACAACGGAGGATCCCACACACCACAAAAAAAACAAAAGTCTGTATTCTAAACCTGCCTTTGCCTTACTATGTACAGAATTCTGCACACTCACCTTAACTTACTAGGTAATGGCAAACAGTAGTCGTGCTGTACTTGTCTGCAGCAGTGTTGTGAGAAGACAGCATGATAAAGTGTTGTTATAAGAATTAACAAGATATCCTGAATAAACAACACATATAATCATTGTCTAAGTAGTCAGTCTTTCCTTTGAACCCTTACGTTCTCCATCGTCAAAAAGAGCACTCTTTGAAAAACAAAAACTTCTATTTAAAATCCTTCAAGAGCTGCCCAGTGCCAAAGAACCAAGTCCAAACTCTTAGCAGAGCATGATCTGCCCCTAACCCATGGCCTTCCCAGCCTCATCCCCACCATCCTTCCTGTTCAGTAATAGGATACCACGTGCAACGCCCCAAAACACATTAACAATACAGTATGTAGGTGATACATCACATGCTACCCCTTCTATAAGGAATGTTCAACTCTGCCCAACTCAGATTCAAAGACAACTGCTCACTAAAACTTCCCCAGATTAGATTCCCTAACCAGTGAGGGGTGGAGCTGGTCTCTTTAAGATGTCACTTCACTTATATTGAATCATAATCCATGTCCTATCAAACTCTGAGATCCTGAAAGTAAAGAATGTGTCCTTTCACAGTGTCTACACACCCTGACATACAGTAAGTGCGCAAAAAGTTTGTTGGATAAATAAATCTCAACTATGTTTAAATATAAAGTACTTATACATACATATATTAATATATCACATATATATGTTTAGAAAAGAAGATTTGAAGAAAACAAAATAGCAATGGTGACCTCTGATTAGTGTAATTATAAACAGTGTTTATTTTCTAAGCTTTGTATTATAGGTATGTTAAACTTTAAATATGTTTTTTAAACTTATGGACAAAAATAAATGAATTAATCAACATACTTACCTTATTTATCTTTATCCAACCCTCCACCTAGCCCAATGCCCTGCACAAAGAAGGTGCTCGATATATGTGTTTGAATATACTCTGTTGAATTGAATAACTGAAATGTCAAATCTATGCATTAAAAAGTTATTCAATAAACTAAACTAGATGTTTCAAAAAAAATTGGCAAAAATCAATTCAAATGATATTTTAAATCTCTAGATCCTCTTTGCTTAGTAGAGTCTTTAGAAGATACTCCTCTCACTCAGGGAACACAGATAAGAATGGCCACCATCTTGAATCATGCAGGGAGAGTGTGCAAGCTACTTAACCTCCCTGAACCTGAAGGAGGATATGTACCGCCTCTATATAGCTAAAAATCACATTGATGAGTTAAAATAGAGATAAGGTGAAAGAGTTTCAGCCCTTGGAGTATGACATTTTAGATTCAGGTTGAATTTCATGGAGGAAGTCCTTACCTACCCCAGAAATGAGGCAACTACCCTTTGCCAAACCACTTTGACCCATCTGATAATCCATTTGGAGTACTTCAGTGAATGAATGCATGCAACATACTTACCTTCTTTATCTTTCTCCAACCCGCCACCTAGCCCAATACCCTGCACAAAGAAGGTGCTCAATATCTCAGGTAGAGACTATACAACGGACCAAGGGCAGTCTCCTGTAAAGTAGGGAGCATGTGAACTGGTACCTGAGTGACAGTTTGGCAAAAATTATCAAAAACTTCATATAAAATGCATCACTCTGGCCCACAATTCCACTTCCTGGAAAGTCAAGTGGTGATATGGTGTAAAGATTTAGCCTAAAAAAGAAAAAGTGCTTCACAAATTGATAATGATTAAAAATTGGAAATAACATTGCTGACCACTGGGCACAGTGAGAAATCCACTGGATGGAATATACAAACATTAACGATGATGTTGTAGAAATATATTTATTGACAGTGAAATATATTCACAACTTACTAAAAAAAAGTTACAAAACAGTATGTGGAGTGTGAATCCATCCTTAATAGACAGAGACACATACAGACATGGATATGAAAAGCTCTGGCAGGTGCACACAAAACCGTTTAATAGTGGTTATCTTAAGTGGCAGGAAAATGAGTAGCTGTTCTTTTCAAAACTGCCTGCCATCTTCTGTTTTTCCTTGAATGAACATATAATTAGAAACAATTCTTGTATATATGAGGTGATTCTAAAAATAAACAATCAAACCATAAACTCCCTCCTGCATCTGCACTGGGGCACTCACATCTCCTAAGCAGTTCTCCTTACAAGAGTGACCACCTCTCAGACCCTCAGAGAAAGCCTGGAGAAAACCAAGCCACTTCAGCCCCGGTGCCACCAAATCTTACATCAGGTTCACTGGGAGAGCAGACTCAGGAGAAACTTCAAGCCTGGGTTCCAGCCCAGAATTCAAGCCCATCTTTCAGTAAGCACAGAGGCCAAGCATCCCTGGTCGCTTACCTCTCCCGAGGGCGGGGCCCCACGCTTGGCTTCTTCGTAGGCGCCCACCTGCTCCCAGGTGGCCAGAAAGGCGTGGGTGGGAGTGAAGTGCGCGCCGGAAAGCGGGAAGCCTGTGCGCACGTAGCTGGCGGCCAGGCCCAGCACCGCCGGAGAGGTGTCCTGGCGGTACAGGACCCGGCCCCTGCCGCCACTGGTGTCGATGTCGGCCAGGAAGGGGGCGATGGCCGGGAAGTCTGTGGGGAAATCGTCGTCCACATACTGGGTCTCCCTGGGGAAGTCCTGGGTGGAGATGATGCCGTTGGTGCCCACCTGGGGAATGAGGGGGACAAAAAGATGACCGTAGGAAGCCCAAGGACGCGCGAGCCTACCCTGTGGCACCGCAAGAAGGGAAGGGAGCCCTCGGGGCATGAAGCTCCCCACTTTCCCATCCTGGAAGCCTGACTCCTGGTTCATAGCGACGAGTGCAACTTCAGCCGGCGTCGCCCCACGCCCCGACTCCACCCCGCCACCCTATCCCACACGTGCAGTGCAATAGGTCCAGGAGCCCTAAACTCCTTCACATATCTTTTCACTTCCCGCACAACCCTGGGGGGAAAGCTCTGGGTTTGACGAAGGAACACCCAGTTCTGCAAACTTGCACTGCCCTCTCACTGAACTTAACTTTAGACCCCACTGGCCGCCTTAGGAATCCCACCTTCTTTTCTGCCGGTGACGCTTATGCAGCTGCGAACAATTGTTACTGTCCCCTTGTAGCTGGGGAATGCAGTGCGCTTGGCAAAGGCAAAAAAGCCAGGTCCGACCCCAAGGGTGCTCGGGGACAACCGACCACGCGGACTATTTCCTCCCCTCGGAAGGCAGGGGTCCGGTGAGAGTCACACTACCAATGACCCTTGTTCAGAAGCTGCTAGAAATCTGCCGAGTCCCGCACCATGAAGAAGCTAAACTTACGTAGAGGTCGCTGAATTGAGCATCGTAGAAGCGCAAGGAAAACGTCAGCTTCACGGCGGCTGAGCTTTCGTCGTCGCCTTCCTGCAGGAGCTGGTCCCCTCGCGACTGCCCATAGGGGAAGAGCTCGCTTGGGTGCAGCGCCGCGGCCCGCGACAGCAGCAGCAGCAGCATTAGCAGCAACGGCGGCGGCAGCGCCGGCCGCCCGGCCGCCGGGTCCCCCCGCATGCTTGCTCGGCCCTGGGCTGCCCCGCGACAGACCTCGTCCCGCCCGGCCAGCCAGCCCACTAGCGGCGCCGAGCGGGCCTCAGACCTGGATCCCCGCGGGCGCCCGGGCGGGGCGGGACTCTGGGCCCTCCCAAAGCGCTGATTGGCCGCGGCCTTGGGCCCGGACCCAATCGCCTGCTCTGAGAAAGTTCGACAGCGGCCACCACATCTGGTTCTCGTTAAGTTCTCCAAGGCAGCGGTCACCGGAGCGGCGGGGGCTGGAGAGGTGAAAGCCCCCGCCAGGGGTGATCGGAATTACTTCTCCTCCGCCTCCGCTCCCCGAGAGCTCGCGGGGCGGGGAGTTCATCTCCACCCTCCTAACGGGGCTACCCGGAGATCCTGGCGAGTTCCGCCCCGTGGACCAAATGGCCCGCACGGTTCGAAGGCGGCGGCGCTGCAGGAGATGACCTCGGCCCCAAGGAGAACCTCGAGGCGGCGTGTGCAGCTGCTGGCTGGCGCGACGTGCCCCGCCAGCCTGGCAGGGCGAGGGTGGTAGGGGTTACGGTTTGCGCCCTGCCCTGGGGTCCCGGGCGCCCATCGCCCTGGACGTCAGGCTCTCGAACCGGGAAGCAAAAGGCATTGTCGCAGCCACAGCTTCCCCCGCGGCCGCTTCACTTCACCCAGAGACTCGCTGCGGAGAACCGCGGCTTTGTGAGAAGCCTGGGGACTGACTCCTAAATTCCATCCCCCTCCCTAAGGTTGCCTCCCAGGAGGACGGGACCGCCCGGAAGGACTGGGCCACCGGGCCGAAATGCCTGCCAGTCCGAGTCAAGAGCGTTGTTTACCTTCCCCGGGGAAAACCGCACCCGAGAAGGGCATGAAACGCGACAGTGTGCGATCGGCTCTGTTTGGGGCGTGGAATAAGGCATCCGGTTTGGACACCAAGCAGAAACGGGCTAGGCGCCACGGTGGAGAGACCCTGGGTCGGGCATCGATGCTGCTCTTGACCGCCGCAGCAGAGATGGTAACCCGAGCTCTCCGCGGAACTGGAAAGCTCACAACCGCCAAACCAGATGCCCTGAGAGTGTGGGGGAACACCATCTACCATAAATGTACCCTCTGCGAAGCTCCAGTAGCTGGAAGAGATTTTACTACCAATTTTATTATCAAGAGCTTGAAATTTCCCAGATAGTCTGTTTTCTCTCTTGGAATCTCCCTGGGGTCTTTGGAAGCAAAGGTATTTTAAAAGAAGGGAAAAGCAAACCCTTGGAAATGCCTTTAGGAATGCTCAAAAAACAGATTTCTTTCTGTGGGTCTTACTCCCGTTATACAAATCCTTACCAGCCCACAGAGCCAAGCCCTGAAAACTTTAAAAAGATCAGACTGTGAGACTCACAGAATCAACACAAAACGGAAAAGTGGCCTAAAGTAGTTTGCTTCCTCAAACTGTGAAGACATATATTTGATGTTACAAAAATGAATTTGTGTTTGCATATATTATGTTCTCCTTTCCTTTGGAGACAGATTATTTTCATCGTACTGAGGAGGAAATAGCTCAAAGACATTAGGTGACTTGACTTGCCCAAGGTCACCTAAAGTTACTCTGTGATATGAAATCCTTCACTGATTTTTGAGGCTCTTGCAAATCTCTCAACTGAGAATAATAACAGTTAACATTTATGAAATGGTAATAAGCCATTATGAGTCCAGCAGACCCTAAGATGGCCCTCAATGACCCCCATTTCCTAGTGTTTACTCCCTTGTATAATCTCTTCCCCTGGCGTGTAGGCTGGCCTAGTGACTTCTTTTTTGCCTATTAATACAATTTTATTTATTTTGCTTTTTCTTGGTTGCACTGGGTCTTTATTGCTGCATGGGCTTTTCTCTAGTTGCAGTGAACAGGGGTTGCTCTTTGTTGTGGTGGGTGAGCTTCTCACTGTGGTGGCTTCTCTTATTGTGGGACACGGGCTCTAGGGCACATGGGCTTCAGTAGTTGCAACTCCTAGACTCCGGAGCACAGGCTCAGTTGTGGCCCACAGGCTTAGTTGCTCGTGGTGTGTGGGATCTTCCCAAATCAGGTACTGAACCCATGTCTCATGCACTGAAGGTGGATTCTTTACCACTGAGCCACCAAGGAACACCCCTAGTGACTTCTAAACCAAAGAATGTGGCAACAGAGTTGAGAAATCATTTCAAATATTAGGCTAAATCTGTCTTGCTGGCAGACTCTCTCTCCCTGGTTTTGATGAAGCAAGCAATTATGCTGGGAAGGCCAGCATGGCAAGGCACTGGGGGCAGCCTCTGGCCAACATCCAACAAAGCACTGAATTCTGCCAACAACCATGTAAGTGAGCCTGGAGGGAGATCCTTCCCCAGTCATGTCTTGAGTCGTTGTTCAGTTGCCCAGTCGTGTCTGACTCTGCGACCCCATGGACTGCCACACGCCAGGCCTCCCTGCCCCTCGCCATCTCCTGGAGTTTGCCCAAGTTCATGTCCACTGCATTGGTGATGCCATCCAGTAATTCATTCTTTGCCACCCTCTTCTCCTTCTGCCCTTAATCTTTTCCAGCATCAGGAACTTTTCCAATGAGGAAAAGTTCATTGGAACAGGTGGAACAGCCACCTGTTTGCATCAGGTGACTAGAATACTGGAGCTTCAGCTTCAGCTTCAGCATCAGTCCTTCCTATGAGTATTCAGGGTTGATTTCTTTAGGATTGACTGGTTTGATCTCCTCATTGTCCAAAGGACTCTCAGGAGTCTTCTCCAGCACCACAGTTCGAAGGCATCAATGTCTTGAGACAGCACCTTAATTCTGGCTGACACTTGGACTGCAGTCTTGTAAGAGACTCTGAAGCAGAGAATCCTCACTAAACAGGATTCACATTTGGGACCCACAGATACGATGAGAATTTAATAAAATCATGTTATTTTAAAGTTGTTATGGTTTGGGATAAATTTGTTATGCAGCGATAGTTAAGCCACAGAGCTAGACACCATGCTAAAGAAATCAAGACTTGATTTCTGGGTTAAAAACACACACACACAGTTACTGCTACATAGCTAGTAAGTACAAGAACTGTGATTTGAACTCAGTTTTGTCTGATTTCTAAACCTCTGCTCTTTAGTACTAAATCACATTGCCACGAGGCCCTCTGCAAGGCTGCTCAGGCCTACCTCTCTAACTTCAGCTCTGGCCATGGTTATCTTTTCAGCTGAGACTTTAGTTCTCAAATGCAACCTGTATTATCGTTAGGAACATCCATACATACATTTCCCAATTCATCTCATCTAGCCAAAACTTACTCATTATTCAAGACTTAAATCAAAACCCTTCTCTTCAGGAAGCCTTCTTGGAAACAAGCCTAACACAGAACCTTCTCTGCCCCATATGCCCAGTGTTTGTCATTATCATATCTTCTGTCATCCCTAATCTCTGCATGTCCCCCTCCCCACCACTACCATGCTAGGAGAACGGGGACTTGGTCTCATTCAGGGCCTGCTACAGTGCCTCCCTGGCCTGTTAGAAGACGTTTAAAGAAGTATTTGTTGAATAAGTGAAGCCAAGCAAGGCAACCTAGGGCTAGGATCCATGTCTGTGGCTCAAATGAAACATTCTTGTCCCTACAACACCTTTCTTGTTAATCTGACCTGAGTTTTGTAATTATCTTCATCTGGCTATCTAGTGACTTACCTACCATGGCTCTCCAGTTTTTGTCATTCTTTCACTCATTCATCTGCTCTACAACTATTTCCTGGGCATGACAAACCCAGCTCTGCAAGAAATAATGGAGTGCAAGATGTGACTCTTCGCCTTACAAATCTCATAATCAGTTGCAAAAACAAAGCAGGAATATGGGGGGAAAAAAAAAAAGGACCAATGCTGCAAGGTAACATGCATTTAATAGAAAAACAGGCAAAAAAATGCCTTTGAACTGAGAGACTGTCGCTAGGTGTGAATCTGGTGTTATCCGAATACAAAAGAAGTAGATTCCAAGGCAAGAGGCTGAAATGAGCAGTCCTGACTCCTGTTTGCATTAAAGTGGCCAAATTCTTTTTGAAATATGAAGCTTTGGACAGCTGTGCATGAGCAGATATTCCTTTGAACTTTTATTCTAATATTATTTTTAAAAGACTCTATGGCCCCCAAAGAGTGGTTTCTTCTTTAAAATGTCACTTTGGGCCTGGAGGGAAAGGAAAAAAAAAATCTGTCATGGCTATTTCAATGGTCAAAATAAATACTGAAGAAATATTTCTCTTGTATACTCAGCTCCAGAGTAGAATTTCCATGACCTGCCAGACTAGCTAAAGAGACTGAGGCCCCTTTCTGGCCAGAAGTTATAGAGGACTTCTCTAGACACTTTTAGTCCTCTTGGATTGGATCTTCAAGTAATTGCTTGAGAGAGAAGATTCTCAACTGTAGGACTTTTTCTCCCAAGCCAAGGATGGTACCAGACACCTTGTCAATAGACCTTGGCAAGTCTCCAAAGTTACACACACACACAAATATATATATATATATATATATATATATATAGTGGTTATATTTTTGTTATAAATACCAAGACTGTAAGAATGATGATACTTTCTATTATTTTAATCAAGAGAATGAAAACACATTTGCTCCACAGTGTGGCAAATAGATTTTGGTATTCAAGGCCAAGTTCTATATATAGAATGGACTTTTGTGTGTACATGTTTATACTGGAGATGGCCTTGGCAGAAAATGTTCTGGTTCTTGTTGCACACAGTGATTCTTTGCATAACTTTACTCTCTATTAAATTCCAGGCTGGGTGTTCTAGCATGTAGTGAAAATAGAGCTGTACAAATTAGCATGTCTCCACAGACTCAGGATGGACTGAAATCATGCATAGGCCTGAGAAAAACCATTCACCTCTGAGACATTCCTACTGCTTGGATTATATTTGAAGGTTATTACAATGTAGGTGGGATGCTCTACTTTCAAATGACCTCCAAATACATCCCAAGCCCTAAATTTTTGCTTGAGTTTTGCATTTATATTCAACTCCCTGCTGAATTTCCTTGGGATGACACCACAAATCCACATTTAAGTGTTAGGGAAATTAAAATGGAGGAAGTCCTGTTCAGGCTTCAGAAGCAGGATAGCAGGCCTCTGACCTGCTTCTGACCATCCTAGACACTCCCCAGATTCTGTGTCTGCCTGTAAGCACAGCAAGTGAGGCAGAACTCAGATAAGAAAAGGAGTGGGTCTTGGAATCTCTTAAGCCCCTAAGAGCCTGGCCAGCCCCACAAACTGAAGAAGTCATATGACTCACAAAGTAAAACACACAGCATTGTAAAATTTAAAGGAAATACCAGAAATGACACTTAAAAGCATCAAAACAAACAACCCAATCAACAAGTGGGCAGAAGACCTAAACAGACATTTCTCCAAAGAAGACATATAGATGGCCAAGAGGTACATGAAAAGATGTTCAACACCGCTAATTATTAGAGAAATGCAAATCAAAACTACAGTGAGGTATCACCTCACACTAGCCAGAATGGTTATTACCCAAAAATCCACAAACAATAAAGGCTGGAGAGGGTGTGGGAATGTAAATTGGTTACAGCCACTAGGAGAACAGTATGGAGGTTCCTTAAAAAACTAAAAATAGAGCTACCATATGACCCTGCAATCCCACTCCTGGGCATATATCCAGAGAAAAATATGGTCCAAAAGCATACATGCACCTTTGCAGCACTGTTTATAGTAGCCAAGACATGGAATCAACCTAAATGTCCATCAACAGAGGAAAGGATAAAGAAGATGTCGTACATATATACAATGGAATATTACCCATTAAAAAAAATGAACTAATGCCATTAGCAGCAATATGGATGGACCTAAAGATTGTCATACCGAGTCAAGTGAGTCAGAGGAGAAATATCGTATGACATCTTTTATGTGTAGAATCTAAAAAGAAATGATACAAATGAACTTATAAAACAGAAATAGACTCACAGACTTAGAGAATGAATTTATGGTTGCCGGGGGAATGATGGGGGAAGCACTCATTAGGGAGTTTGGGATGGACAATATACACACTGCTGTATTTAAAATGGATAACCAACAAGGACCTACTATATGGCACATGGAACTCTGCTCAATGTTATGTGGCAGCCTAGATGGGAGGGGAGTTTGTGGGAGAATGGGTATGTGTATATGGAT